CTTTGGTTGAAGTAAACTACATATAATATTTTTAATACATTTTTTTTTTTTAAATGTTCTCAAAAATTAAAGACCTATAAAATAAAAGAAATAAAAAAGAAATGCTATTTAGCAAAAATACATAAATTACCAAGCTATCATTAATTAAATTACAAATTGTGCAACAAACCAAATACACACTGGCACACCAAAATAAAATGCATATTAACCCCTCCATGAACAAAGATGTGTATGCTTCAATACACTAATAATGCTATTTTATTAACACTTTCCATCAACAAAAACAGAGGCAATCCATCACATAGCTCTTAACCCTAATTTGCCCATTCATCCTAAATGAAAACAGACAACGGGAAGTCATAACCCTTACTTTTTAATTGGTTTGTGTGCACATGGGGCAACAGCTTGTGATATGCAGACTGCAAACAGCCACATGAATCAATGAGTTCCACGAATCAGGTACTTTAAACACAGGGCACTGGTGCGTTACCTAAACTAATTAAACACCATGTCTTCCCTCAGTCTCTGAGCAGACACACACACACACACACATACATCTCACAGTATGCCATCAACATTCTAACATTGTGTTAATTACTAGAAAACGTGAGATATTGGCAGCTAGAGTGAGTATGACTGATGATGAGAGTGACAGAGAGAGAGAGAGAGAGAGATAGATAGATATTACTCACGATACACACAGCTCACCTTTCTCTGAGAGTCTATGAATAGCAGCATCAATAAAGAGCTCAGTCAGACTACAGAGTAGAAATATGAGCTGACCGAGAATCTTATACACAACTCTCAACTCTGTCTCTCTCACTCTCTCTCTCTCTCTCATCTCTCTCTCTCTCTCTCTCTCTCTCTCTCTCTCTCTCTCTCTCTCTCTCTCTCTCCTCTCTCTCTCTCTCTGTGTGTGTGTGTTGATTTGTCCCGAGTTATGAATCATGCTGAAAACACATTTAAGATGTATACTTTCAGCTGAAAAGCATCCCCATTTAAAAAAAAAAAGGTATAATTAAAATGTATATATATTGACTACCATTCAAAAGTTTGGGGTCTGCAAGATTTTTAGAAAACAGTAATATTGTAAAATATGATTACAATTTAACATCTTTTATTTTAATGCATTTAAAAATGTAATTGATTCCTGTGACGCAAAGCTGAATTTTCAGGATCATTACTCCAGTCTTCAGAGTCACACGATCCTTCAGACATCATTATAATTATATATGATTATATCATTATTACTAATAATATGCTGATTTGCTGGCCATTTCGCACTATTATCAATATTGAAAACAGTTGTGCTGCTAAATAGTTTGGTGAAAACAGTGATTCTTTGATGAATAGAAAGCTTAAAAGAACAGCATTTTTTTGTAATAGAAATCTTTTGTAACATTATAAATGTCTTTACCAGCACTTTTGATCAATTTAATGCATCCTCAAACTTTTCTGTATTTACAAATAGTTTGTTATACCTCCCATTTCACAGTATTAAGCTTGAAAAACATAAATAGAGATCTGTGTGCATCATATATGCTAAGAAAAATATATGTAATGCAAAACAGAATTATGCTGTTCTTGTATGTCTGAAACACTTACGTAATACGTATATGTCTGCCATATGGGACTCAAATCAGATCATGTACGACAGAAAAACAGATTGTTCTTGACTCAAGTAAGTGTATATTTGACCCACCTCAGTGATTCGAGGGTTGGTGCACTTCACGTTTGTGCTGGCGAGGTGTAGCCAGCGGCTGGTGTAGGGGTTGGACATGGGACAGTGCTGGCGAAGGGTACAGCGGCCCTCCATACTGCACCAGCCACACTGGAACTTCCTCTCAGCCTTCAAACACACGCCACAGCTGTCCCTCTGAGCGCCACACTTATACAGATTCACTGTGGGACACAAGTGGAAATTAGTTTTTGAATGAACGCTGCACTATCCTACAATACACAACAATGTGAGATTTAATTTGGTATGAAAAAAAAAACGGTTGTTACTAGTTTTTACAAAGTTTTCTGGAGGGTTAGGTTGACCTATCTGACAGTTTAGGAGAGCTATCGATCATAAACATTTCAAGCTCAGCATAACCATGATGCTTAGGAAGTATTGCTGAGCATGAGAAAAGTAGCTTCAGACTCTTATTTGTGTATAAACATGAAATGAATAATAATCAGTGTGATCAATAACCTCAAACTCTATTTGAGGCAGAACTATTCAGGCAGAATCAGACAGGTTACAGCATACTTACATGGAGTTTTGGCTTAAAAAACTCATTCTTTTCATGGGTTATTTATGCATTACCTTTGATGTTCTCAGGATTGTCAATGATGAAATTTCCATTCCACACCACTGAGAAATCCACCGGCAGTTCGCTAATTCTCATCCCTTCATACAGATACTGCAGAGACGGAGAGATGGAAAGAGGTTACGACATTTTCCTGACAGTGCAAACCCTGAGATAATGTAACGTTTATGATTTTTTTAATCGGATTTTGTCTTTGCTGTGTCAATTATTGATTACAACATGCAGCCAAAAAGTGAACAAAAAATTGGCAGAGCGTGCAAGAGAGTGAAGCAAATAACACGAGAGAGAAAGAGAGATGGTTTGACTGTATTAGTGCTCTTATTGAGTTACTCCAGACTTGCATCATCAGTCTGAGGAATAAGGAAGACTTTCAACACTCCTATTTTCTACAGCTTGGACACTGAGCTCCAACTGCCTTCATTATAGAGTGTGTGCGTGTTCATTTGAAAGAGAATGACAAAAAGTGTGAGAAAGGAGGAGGTGAAAAGGTAAAATATACCATGGCCACGTCCAATTCATGATCATGTTCGTTAAAACATCACAAAGCAGGTAACCAGTGCTTAACTAGCTATAAACTGTGCTTTTTTGGATCTCAATCTAGCTTTATTTATAGCTTGGATGATATTAGTTACGTTTCATCATCTTTGTCTCATTGTGATTTTTCTTTCCGATGAGTATGCACACCAAACACATACCGAGCTGTTCTGGCACTGTACGCTGGAGCTGTTGAATCGGAGCGCTGTGACTCTGTGATTGACTCCTTGTATGTGTAACACACACTCGTAGCCGCGCTGACCCGACTGGGGTTGGGGAAGGTTCCGGGCTTTCAGGGTGATGGGCTTCACCTCCCCTGCCGGGATCAGGATCTCCTCAGAGCGGACCAGTTGAGGACAGTCCTAAAGCAGTGATGGGAACGAGAGGTGAACAGCCTTATAAAAACGTTCAGTGCACATAGAAATTGTTACAATGTACACAACCCACACATGTTCCCCATGCTCACACACACACACAGCCAAACCTCAGGTGCTCTTTAAAAGCTCTTTGACATGTTACTCTCTGAAAGCTGTGTGTGGAGATGCCATCCACTAGTATGTCAGCCAGTGAGAGATGTCCCTAGAGTCTCTCTAATACACACACACACACACACACACACACACACGGAAATGGGGACTTCTACTGTTTCGTAATAAAGCTAAACATAATTATTGTGAAACCAGAAAAGGGCTGAAATATACTCTATGCAAATATGCAAGCGCATTGCAGGCATGAAAAATAAAATATATATAAAAATAAAAATAAATAAAATATTTAAATAAATATTTTTTTGCGCAAACATTTTGAGAACAATATTAAAGACCAGATAACTTTGAACGAACATTGCATTAACATTGCTAGAAGAAGAAGAACATTTGGTAACTTGGAGAGAACCTTGCCAGAACATTAGTTCTGAGAACATTCCCTGTTAGCAGGGTAACTTCTAGGACAGTAATGTTCTCCCTAAAGTATAAGGTTAAAAACACAAACAAAGATGCACAAATACATATGTACACAGACATACACTTACACACATGCAAGCCTGCATACACACACACAAAAATGCAAATGAATGTGAACACACCCACATACACACACCATGATTGATCATGCACCTTAAGGAGGTTTTGCCTGTGTGAGTGTGTGTTTATTTTGTGCATATGGCTGTGTGTGAATAAGTGGGAAGCCTGTGTGTGCTTTGAGAGAGAATATTCCGGATATCGACCGCTAATTGCTCGCTGTGAGAGGGTGAGCAAGTGTGTTTACCACCTGACAGGGTGTAATGTAGCACATTGATCAGCTGAACACCTGCAAATGCGCGCGCGCACACACACGCACAGACAGAGTCTCTAGCGAGGCGACCGTCGGCTTCACACACACTTTTCAGCAGCTATTATTGGAGGCTCTTCCCCAGAGTTTTGTGATCCTGTAGATTTGCTACCGAGAGACTCTAACCTCCTACACACAGTGTGTGTTAGTGAGCGTACCTCTGAGGCGTTGACGCGTCCCTCCTGGAAGGAGCAGCTGGAGGGATCATGGGTGCAGAGGTTTCTGTACTTGCACCAGTGGCAGCGGAAGGAACTGGTTACACAGGAAAGACACCTAAACAGATGGAAAGAGAGAACGAGAGAGAGAGAGAGAGAGAGAGAGAGAGAGAGAGAGAGAGAGAGAGAGAGAGAGAGAGAGAGAGAGAGAGAGAGAGAGAGAGAGAATAAAGTATTATTACAACTCACTGATATCTCTGATTTATGATCCAAAGCCATTTTTTGAGGGCACTGTGAAAGTAGTCAGCATAAAATGTAGCTCTGGGTTTTAGATTAGCAATGGGGAGCAGGTTGTGCCTTTGAGACCAGAACTGCTGTGTCCTTGACCTTTGCGGCTTAATGCTGAATAAATTAAAAGTGTGCTGCGGAAATTTGCATGTGCCGTTGGACAGCGCAGTGCCACTGAATCTCACATGTCCCACTGAATCTCACAGATGTAATGCAGCTCTGCAAAGGTTAGACTTCAGACGTACAATTATCACTCTGGTATCGAGACATACAGACTTTATTAAGACATATAGTCGTGCCGTGACATATGATTTGCATTAGGACTGTATTGTCTGTGGGTGAGACAGTGGACTGCCTGACTGAATGTAGAATGAGGTATCTTAAAGAAAAAGAGACAAAATCTAATTCTAATTGCAATACTTTAGTTGTTATCCTACCTAAGCATTGTAATAGTTAGTAATTGTGACAAAGTTTTCCTAAAATAGAAAATGAAACCTAGTCTAGAGGTTAAATGGACATCCAGAAGAGTACAAGTACAAGAAAATGCCCGTTTACACAAAGTCCAATGCGCCTAAACAAATGAACTAGTTTTCTCTTTTAAGGAAATCCATATGATATAGTGTAAATGTAGCATAAAAGGCCAATTCATTTAAGGCCAAAATTGAGATAAATCAGGGTTGAGATCCCAGGATAACCTCACCTGTACGCCATCTCTATTTAGTTGTATAATCAGTATTACAATATGCAGCAGACAAACCATGCGAGAATACAGTCATACATTTCAAGCATGTGTGCATATGCATGTATCTGTGTGCGTCCCTACAGCGGTTATATATTTATATGCAGATGAGCAAAGCTTACGAGAAAGAGAATTTATAGTACCAGCACGTTCCAATAAAACACTTACATCAGTCCCTCTAATTCAGAAGCAAAGTCCTTCTAGGGCGAGCGGGCCTTGTTCTATTTGCAATGGAACATGTCATTTATTTGATGTTGAGGAATCTTGGAGACGCTTCTAGAGTCATAAACCTCTACATCATTTTGGCGTCCAAGAGTTTGTGTTTTCTGCGTGCCAATTAAATTATGCAGAAGAGTTTATGCTACAATACTCATCAGAGCCGGCTCTTCATTGGGTCATTGGGCTCAAACGGTGTAATTTTCAATCACCCGATTGGACGGTGAGATTTTAATAGAAATCGAGTGCTAAAACCGATGTACCACGCTGTACTTAATCACTGTGTTGGGAACTCATGATAAATCAGAGCATTTTACAACATTTGAAGTGAAAGGAAGAGTGGGAGGAAATTTACAAAGGCTGAACGCATTAAAAACTGAGCCAGGTTGAGCACACAAGAAGGGTCTTTCTTTCTCAGACTACCCATAATCCCCAGTGCATTGGCAAAGAGGGCCAACGGCGCTCCGTGTGAGGTCTGCGTGTTCAGACGGATTGGATACAGGGAGTTTGTTTGATTAGTTCCAGATCTGTCAGATGCTTGGGCGACATGGCTGTGAGAGAGCAAGGAAGTGAAGGGAACGGGGAGGGGGCGAGTCTTTCGCAGCCAGCCAATCAGCGCCCTCGGAAGCTACCTCTTCCTGTGCCTTTTAGAAAGCTTCCAGCAAACTGGGGGGCTCTGTGATCTCCTGCATCGAGCAGCATCTGTTCTCTGCAGAAGGCACGCTTATGAGATGTGGTTTAGAATACACACAAGAGGCTACGAGTAAACGCTAAAACACACATAAACATGCACGCGAGTGAAGTTCGGGAGCGTGGCGTGTACAAAGACACAAACGCGCGCTCAGACAAGAGGTTGTTTATCAGCCAGCCTCCTGGAGAGACGAGATGCAGTCCAACTCTTTCCTCTCTGATCAGCCATCATAGCAGATGAAGTGTAATTGAACTGTGACAGACAGCGATGCCCCCAGCCGGAGCGCAAAACCCACAGCACACTTAGATTCAGCAATTCAGACATCTCAGCCTCGACACTTGAGAAATGTCAAGCAATCAGCCGGCATTTGCCATAATGGATGCTTTTTATAGCTGCACAATCCTCGCCAGTCGCGGGAAAGTGCAGCCTGGGAGGGGATGCGATGCTAGTGGCCTGCAAAAAACTAATCGGAGAGTTCGGACACACTGCGAGAATCTGGTGCGCCGCCAACCACAGCCTTGATAAACTCTTTGAATATTATCAAAACGTCCCGTGGGGCTGACACATTCACAGTTTTTCCATGTTGCATAACACTTTTGAAACATTCACAGCGTGCGCAGTGAGCTGGCTGAGCGCCGTGACACAACGCTGATACTCCACGACACAGGAAGTGAGAGAAATATCAGCAGGGCTGCGTATGTGGGCCGAATGTATCATGAAGATAAATATCGCAGAAACCGGATAGATGGATAGATGGAATGACACATGGTATGTCTCATGATGCATCTGGAAAAGAATTCGGATTGAGTCGTAACACTGAGCAACATCTGCTAACCACTAGTTTTGCAATCAAAACCTACCCTATGTTGTCAATTTAACTAAAGCCAATTCATTTTCTCAATCAAAATCAATATTGATTTTCAATTAAAAATGTAACTGGCACTTCATCTGAAACAACTTTCCTTTTCTGCTGTTATCACTGACTGTGTGGGCTATTAGATAATGTTAACCATTAGCCAACTATTTAGGCACAGTTTTAACACACTTGAATTCCATGTTTTGTTTAAATATCAATCCTAAAATTCCCGAGTTGAAGTTAAGTTTTCATTTAATTGAAAAACAGCTACAGTATAAAACCGTTGAAACATTTGGTGTCAGTAAGATTCTTGGTATACTTTTACTTAGCAGAGATGCATTCATTGATCAAAAGTCACAGTAAAGACATTTATAAATCAAATCAAATAAATTCTGTTCTATCCATCAAAGAATCATAAACAAATGGTTTCCACCAAAATATTAAGCAGCACAGCTGTTGTATCATTGACAGTAATATGAAATGTTTCTTTAGCAGCAAATCAGCATATTAGAATAAATTCTGGAGGATCATGTGACACTGCTGAAAATTCAGCTTTTACATCACAGAAATATATTAAATTTTAAAATATATTCAAATAGAAAACAGTTATTTTAAATGGAATTGTATTTCACGATAATACTGTTACAAAATAATACGGTTTTTGATCAAATATCAAGCATAAGAGACAAAAAACATTTCAAAATCTTACAACGAACACACTTTTGAGTGGTAGTGTATAAAAAAGAGCTATGAAATTAGAACTATAAAATGAAGAAATCATGAGAAATGTTTGAGCTCACATTGAGTTCTAAGCATACCTGTCAACCCTCCCGTTTTTCCCGGGATTCTCCCGTATTTTACCTTGCCATCCCGCAATCATCCCGTTTAAATATTTTCCCGTATTTCTCCCTTATTTTTAATCTTTCTAAAAAATAATCGCGCGAAGAAGAACAGCAGCATCCCGAGGATGGACGAACATGAGAGAGATGGCATTGGAGACTATGTATGTAATGTATAGGCATACATCCTATGTATATCCCCCCACCTCCCCTCCCTAAGTCATCTCCCGTATTTAGGAATCCAAATGTTGACAGGTATGGTTCTAAGGCTATGAGATCTGAGCTTTTAGTAGAGACACGTGCAACATTCCTGGGGTATTTTCTTCAAAAGAAGAACCTCTGAAGAAGGATATTTGAGCCATTTTTGCTCCATTTAATCTTTCTAGGAAAAACAATTAATGAGTACTCACTTTTCTATGGAAATTAGTGAAATGAAGTGTGTGTATACTCACAGCTGGTGCACGCTGCAGTTGTAGAACTTCACCTCTGTGCTAATTAGCATCTGACCCGTTTCCTTCGAGTTCAGCCTGAGCTCGACACCCGACCAGTCTGAAAAGAGAGCAAGAGATGAGAACAGTTCTGTCGCATTGCATTCTGTTGTGTTTGGTTTACCACCCTTTTTTCAGCTTGCTTCATGCTCAAGCTGTCTTCTGATTAATACTTGGCATACCTCGCATCGTATTCTCACAGTCAAGCGGAGCCTCGAGCAGCTCTGCAGTGCGTGGCATCCAAGCCGATATGAGCATATTTGGCGTTTTTTTTGTGAAGACACGCTATTGTCATACCGAACACAGCTGAGACCTGCTGTTAATGTGAAACAGGCCCGCGGGCGGCAGCGTCGATGTAATGGAGGAGGAACGGCTGGCATCGCCACAGAACACCAGCCAGGCCAATCCTGTTTGGCAGGGTGGTGGCGTGGAGAATGCCGATCGGCGTGCAGACCAAACGCTCGCGCTCGATAAGCGGCTAGCTCTTCATACTCAAATGAGCACAAGCTCCGTCCCAAACAGGCAGCAATTCAGATAGCATACAGCGTGTGGGAGTCAGCTGTGACCCGAAAGCACTCCTCTTCCCTCCTTCACACCTGTTTCCACGCTTCGTAATATGGATGAATGGACTGAAGGGTAAAAAGTTGACATTTTTAAACATTTTTAGACCGTTTCCGGTGCATATGCCAACGGCAATAACTGGCACGCGATTCCCAAATGCCTGACTGTCTCGTGCCGTGTAGCTATTGGAAATAAACTAGAAATTGAATTGGTCACACCCATGACTCAATGAGCAGGTATTTCCACACATGATCGATGCTCATAAGCTCCTATCGAGCCGGAATCAGTCAAGAGAAAGCAGCAAATGTGAGGCACCGGGGGATTAGATGACATTTACCTGAGGGAGCCCACTGATTGGATAACGCTCCCCCCAACAAGAGAATGGGGGCTGTGGGTAAACAAAGCTGTCATTTACTGTGGGCTGGGAGGAGATTATTGTGATTCAGATAATCACGACCAGCTTCTGCCGTATATATGGCCATCTGCTTCTCAACAGAGGTTAGACTGGAAGCGCATGTAGGAATTTGTCCGTGGACAAATGTAAGCTTGAAAAAAAAAAAAAAACTGTGTAATCTTGCTCTGTAAGCGTTGCTAACAAACACATATCCGTTACGTCTGTAGTGACATACAATTACATCATGCAGTTTTCCGTGAAACTGGATCCTCTGATTTTGGTTTCCCACATTGCAAACTGATCCCTGATTATACTGCTAACCACAGATGACTGACTCTAAACCCGATTGTAGATAAGCGTTGGAGAAGAACTCCATCCCTGGAGCTATTATGGGTAGGGAGAGGGCAAAGGGCTTGTCACCTGTAATGGGTGTAAGTGTGTCTGAGAGCACGCGTGAAGCCCTGGGGCCGACCTGAGGTCGTTGTAGGCTCATTAGAGCCACGGTTGCACGTGGCTAGTGGGATCGATGGGGTGGCTTGAGTGTGAGAGCGGACGGCAGCGCTGAAAGAAGCCCTCATTAGGAAGCAAGGCTGTTGGTACGCTAGAGAGGGTCTATTAATAGAGCATCTATACAAGAGAATAGAGATCACCTCTCTGAGGGGAACAGGTAGACGGATGGATAACGAAAAAACAGAAGAGATGTCAATTGATAGGGGAGGTTGAGTGCATGGAGATGAGAGCAGGAGAAATCAGCAGTAAATCTATGGGGGTATAAAATAATGCACGAATATGGAGTTTTAGTTTGATTAAATACCTTGATCTGTGGGGATGATGGGGACATCTTTAGCAGCGGGAGATGTGCAGAGAATCTGATTCCCATCCACTCTGCCCTCAACCTCCGTCAGGTTCCCGAAGGAGCAGGTGATTCCAGCAGAAAGATCCGGAACATCTGTCACTTTCACCAGCAGCTAGACAGAGGAAAGAGATCATTTAGATTAGATCAGGAGTTTTCAAGCTGGAAAATAAAATAAAAAAGTATTGCAATTGTATAACTATTCTTTTATATTTAAATAATAAAGGACATAATTCATTATATAAACCGACTACATGTCTGAGCCAAGCCACAGCTCAACAGAAGAAATTCATTTCTGATCAAATAACCTCAGTCTCCTCATACGGGCAAAGTTCATTCTACGGCAGATGGTCTCACACAGCATAAACTCCAACCATCATTACAGACTTAACCTTATAAAGACTCCTGCTCAAAGAGGGTTGAAACTGGGCATTTAACAATCCATCTATCCTTCCTCTATCTTTGAACTACATCTCCTGTATTTCACACGAATGCTCTTGCACATCTTCTCAAAGCACACATGGTCCTCTGAAGTCATTCTCTGGGGGACCGGTGACACATAGGATGAAGCTCACAGGCTATAAATACACACATTTCACGACGTGCCAGGAGGGAAGTGCAGGCTGGTCTTCTCACCACTGAAGAAGAGGACAATTATTACTGTGACATTTGTTAAGATTGCTCGGCTTACTTTTTGTTTTTACCATGCCGTTTTCAACAGTTCTACTCTCTTTTGAGAGTATGTACGTTCGGCCCATTTCATTGACTTCCTTCACCCTCTCTTTTGAAATTTCCCATCTCTATATGGCATCCAATTCCTTTTATAACCACATGGATGTTCCTTTTCTTTCACTCTTTAAGCGACAGCTACAGATTTGCTAATTAGCCATCTTGTTATTCGTTGTAGATACACTGACTGTACTCAAACATCGAGGCAAAACATTGTTTGCGGTAAGCATGATCTATAAAGCATTGTCTGACCATAACAACATTGACGAGGCGTGATTGGAGTCTCCATGTTTTGCCTTTGCTCCTTTAATTACAGGTTAGCTTTTTCTCATTTCTCTTCGTGGCTGCTGATGTGCAGGGAGGGCTAATTGTTGCTAGCATTTCTAATAAAGGTAATTCGATTGTTTTGGGTGCTTTTCATGCTCCTCTAGCGCCAGTGCGGATGGGTTTGTTGTCATGGTGATGGTTTCCCTTTATTGTGCGATGCGCAGAGCAGCGGTGACCCTGTTGTCGTGTTGTCGAGCGCTACGGCACGACAGAAACATCTCATTTAGAGCCGGACACCTCATTATCTTAATCAGGTAGCTGTGATACAGGGACTCTATCAATTATCTGGACATCACAATTTTTTTCCCCTGGCTTCCTAGGGAAGTTTAACCAAGGTGAATACCTTCATACTTGCTTGTATGCCTGAGATGCCTGTACCTTTTTGCGTGAATAAAAAGTATCCATGAGGGTATAAAATAATGACAAAAAGCCCTGAATAGATATCTTTGTCTCCTTGAACGCAACTCCTACTCCGGCCCACATGCTTATTTGGCATCTCGCCCACGCATATACCTTTCCCAAAGGCCTCTGTTCCCAGATATCTCGCTCTCCGAGCACTCCCACACAGACCACGCTTTCCAAAACCAAAACTGTTTATCTAGACATCGCACTGAAAACTAATTCATTCTAATTTTTCTCGCTAGAAGGAATGCATCCTATATTTCAGTCAATATCACCTATAGGTTGTTAAGGTGTATGTGTTCTCGTGAGTAAAGGTTATAAATGGTTTGTGAGGTCTCACCGGTACACTGGGTTCAGACACAGCGATGCTGTCCGGGTACACGGTGGCTTTCACACACTGACTCAGTGTGGCAGCGAAACGGTACGGCTCGTTTGCCCGCTCGCAACGATCCCTTTGAGAACACCTATGAGAGAGAGAGAGAGAGAGAGAGAGAGAGAGAGAGAGCAGTAGTTAGTTGGGAAAATATTTTGACAAGCATAAATATTTACATTTATAAATCTGCCAGACACTACAGTACATTCAGAACAAGCATATTCATCAGCATGTGTGTCCCCTGGGAATCACAAGCACCATACACCCAGTGGCGGATTAAGACTCTTTGGTGCCCCAGGGCACTGACACCTAGAGAATTTTTTTGCTGAAAGGCTTCTCCTCTGCCAAAGTTCTCAAATCTCATTCAATTCAAGAATGATGACACAAGAACTAATGACATTTGATAGAATGTTAAATCTGGTACAACGACTGAGCATAGATGAGATTTCAGAACTTTAAAGGAAAAAACACATTTGACAGTCCCCATAATGAAAAAGCCCACTCTGGACATTCTCCGATGTCTTCTTTTGTGTTTATTTTGGAATGACATGAGGTTAAGTAAAAGATCTGTAACTTCCCTAAGTTTCTTCTCAAATTTTCATTTCCAGGTAAACTACATCTTTACAAGTTCAAAAGCTTTGCTTTTAATATTTTTGAAAGAAGTCTCTTATGCTTACCAAGGCTGCAAGTAATATTGTGAAATATTATAATTTAAAATAACTTTAAAATAAAATTTTATTTATTCTTGTGATGGCAAAGCTGAATTTTCAGCACTTAATACTCCAGTGTTTAGCGTCACGTGATCCTTCATAAATCATTCTAATATGCTAATTTGCTGCACAAGAAACATTTCTAATTATCATCAATGTTGATAATGCTAAATAATGTTCAATTATTATCAATGCTGATAATGAGTAAACCGTAATACTTTTTTTAAGGATTATTTGATACTAAAATATATGGAAAGTTCAAATAACAGCATTCATTACTATCAATTTTGATCAATTTAATGCACCCTTGCTGCAACTACATTCCACACAGGCTACATGAGCATCTGCTGCCTTCAGCTGCTGTCCTTGGTGCTGAACACTTCCATAACACCACTTTCCCTTGAAAGAGCAATCAGTAACATCGAATTCCAGATGTGTAAAGCTGTCATTATTGTCACGAGCCAACAGTGTTCATGTACACGTACAATTCCAGAATATATCCTCTTATTCCTCTCAAAGTATTTTTTACTTGACTAAAGGCACTGATGGACAAGAAAATTACCATTTTGTTCATTTTTGTTGCATTTACACACATACTGGATCACAAAAAGAAACTACTATAGTTGATTCATCCTACTGATATAAATCTTACTGTACTTTTGTGAATCTGAGGGTTGTTATTTTTACTTTTCACACTATATTCATTCAGCCTGTCACTTGCTTTTGACTCAGCCTCCGTCTCTCTTTGCTCCTCTATCTCTGACAAAGAGCGTGTAGGCTTGCAATTTGCCATGTCTTTTTAACATGCCTAATGCTCCGGGGGGGAAATGGCACTTAATGTGCTTTCAGATGTCCGGGGCGGCTTGTGCATTCTCCGCTGTCTGAAAATGTGGGCGTGTGTTTGTCTGCACGAATATGTACATCTTTCAGAGCCGCCAAATCCAGGAGCCGGGTTTGATTTTGGAGGAGGAGGTAGGTGTACTCGGGATGCTGCGTTGCCATGGCACCAGGAGACGGCCATTATAATGTGTGTGTACATGTAAGTGTGTATACTTAGTGGGCAAGCTCTTCTCTCTCTTTCATTAAATGAAGTGTGTGTCCCCTGTAGACATCGTTTTGTCTCCAAAGGGGTTTATTCTTAACCTGACTCCGCCAGATGGATTTGCTCCGCATATCCATCTGGAAACCTTCCGTTGAAGTAGTTTTGGTAAGGGGCGAAAATACTGGTTAGCTGATAGGCCTATGTTGGTGATAGACGGGCCAAATCAACCAATCAGATCAACGAAGCATATGACGTACTAACAGAGCGTATCTTTTCCTCTGAGAAAAGCCTCCAGAGCAGTGTTTTGCTCTTCTTTCAGTGAAGAAATACTCTGTAATTCCGATAAAACTTGCTCGATAGCCACGCTGATGCTAGTTTCATCCGCTGAAGCCGACATGTTCTTTAGAATGAACTGACGCGCTTCTCGTTGCGTCACACCTCAACCCGCCTCAAAGCCAACGCTGATTGGACGTTCGTTTGGTGAACTGCTCCCAAATTTTCTTTAACGGAAAGTATCCAGACTGATCTGCGAGTGAAACCTTGAAAGCTCGCGAGATCAGGATGGTCTCACGAGGCTAGTTTATTCTACCTCTCGACTATCTCTCTCTCTCTCTCTCTCTCTCTCTCTCTGTCTCTCTCTCTCTCTGTCTCTCTCTCTCTCTGTCTCTCTCTCTCTCTCTCTCTCTCTCTCTCTCTCTCTCTCTCTCTCTCTCTCTCTCTCTCTCTCTCTCACACACCAATTCAAAGAAAACGCCTAAACACACAAGCACGCACACAGTATGATTTTCAAGGTTTCTTGCACCAAAGGTTCATATTTAGTTTTGCCTGTCCATTTTCCACCTTCTGTCTGTCCCTTAGAATTAAAGTTTTTTTTAGCTACTGTACCTTTAATATGCAAATGAGCTCTGCTATGATTCGCTAAACTCTGCATGAGAAAACTGCTGACATACCGCTGTTAATTATGAATTAACGTTGATATGTGATAAAGATGCTATGTGCGTGACAAGCTTTTAGATTTATGAATGACCTGTTTTCAGTGTGTGTGTAGAGAGAGAGAGAGAGAGAGAGAGAGAGAGAGAGAGAGAGACAAAGGAAGGTAATGGTAGTGGTGGGTTAACCTTTGGGTTTTTCTCTACCGCCTGCTTTTAGCCCTGTGCACCAGACAGGCAATTACAGCGTCTTTTCTCCTCCTTACACACTCAACACACACACTCAGCCCTGACAAGAGGAGACAGGCGACAGGAGAAGATTTTCCCTTGTTTCTTTCCTGTCTTCTTACCAGCGTCTCGAAAACATCCCGCGAGGTGTGTGGCGAGACACACGATTGAGCAAACCCTCTGAGGGAGGAGAAGAGGAGACGTTTTACAGAGGAATAAAAGTCCCTCTTTTAAAATAAAGCTGAGAAGAAAGCTGTGGGAGTGATATGAACTTCTCCCTGGGAGGACTTAGATGAGACTAAATGAGACAGAAGAAGAGAAGAGACAAGAAGAGATAAAGAAACGAGAAGAGAAGAGACACAAGAAGAAGAGAAAAGACAAGAGGAAATTTGAGGCAAAAAGAAAAGTGTTAAGATGAGTAAATAAGACGAGACGTAAGAAAATAAGGAAAAGGATAAGAGACAAGAAGAGGAGATGAAGAAACAAGATAAAATATAGCTGCGAGCAGCGATTACGGGCCCAAGCCGGTGGCACCGCAACCCCGGTGCCTTTAGTTACCTAAAGGCACCGGGGTGGCGGTACCACCGGCTTTGGCCCTTCATCGCTGCTCGCAGCTATATTTATATATATATATATATATATATATATATATATATATATATATATATATATATATATATATATATATATAAAGCCGGTGGCACCGCCACCCTGGTGCCTTTAGGGTTATTGTGCACGACGTGCAAAAACGTAACCCTGCTTTGACTGTCGAAAAGAAGTGTGCTGTAGAGCTTGTATCAGTGTGGGCTCTGCAAAAGTGTGCATTGAGGGCACATATCAACCACAAAGTATGCGAGAGCAACCTTCTGAAAGGTCAGGTCTACATCCAGGTCTACATCTGCCGTGTGTTTACATCATAGTAGTGAAGTTTGAAGCAATCAGGTGATTTCAAAGCTTTTTGAAAGTGACAGACTTCCTGCTGCCAGTTGGTGGCGCTATAACCGGGGTGGCGGTGCCGCCGGCTTTGGCCCTTTCATCGCTGCTCGCAGCTATATTTATATATATACACACACAAACACACACACACACACACACACATATATATATATATATATATATATATATATATATATATATATATATATATATACATAAATATATATATATTGTTTTTTTAAGAGACAAGACAGAATATTACTTGCCTGATCTGATTAGAAAAATAGTGTTTGTGTGTGTGTGTGTGTGTGTGTGTGTGTGTGTATGTGTGTGTGTGTGTGTGTGTGTGTGTGTGTGTGTGGCGTAATTGAACAATGTAGACATAAAAACATACTCCGTCCTTTTGTTCATACAGGACATTATTCAAACTGCAAAGTGTTTACTTATATTTGTGTACACTTGCAATAAAACACAACATTGTGCTTTTGTCAAGCTATAAACTCTTGTCAAACTGTAAACTACAACTGTCACCCAACCAAAATCTCTTACACACACACACACACACACAGTTTAAAAGCAAAAAATATCAAACAATCCTATTTAAAAACAGTCTGTGGGAGCCATCTTTTGGACATTCATCATATCGCATTGGTTTTCATTTCTTGTCATCAAACAGAGCCCTAATCTGTTTATTTTTTCAGTTACACATTCTACATTGATTAAAAAAGAAAAATCAAATGTGTTTTTATTTTATACAGAAATAAATAATCTATCATTCAGATGAGAATAAAGTTAGTGTTAGTTCAAATTTTAAGGAAAACAAATATATGATCTGAAATATAGCACATTCATTTAAAATTCATTCAGGTTCAATTACCAAACATACAATCTTAATGTAATTTAAAGCAAACAATACATTTAAAATATATGGGTTGTATGACTATTTTTTAATATAAAAAGATATATATCCAAAAAGACAAGGCCTAAAGTTTAACAAGGGTTAAACTCTTATCACTGTAACAGACACAATCACACACACACACACACAAGTCAAATCACTTACATTTTACATGCAATATTGACTTTTTTTCTGTTTCAGCAGTGAAAATAGTTAAACAAAGATCACAGCAGAACCATCGCGCATCTCACAGCAACGCGTTCTCATTACTGAATGATTCAGCATTTTGAACGAATCGGTTGACTCAAAGATTCAATGACCAATCAATCCATAAACATCTATCTCATT